GACAAATGTGTTCGGACTAAAAGGGGGGGGGGGGGGTGTCCCCCTAAGTGTAGCATAGAGTTTCTCACTCAGCACTGTTTCTCCTCAGGGCCCAGATGACCAATATTCTTCAGCAAATCAAAACAGCACGTACCACCATGGCAGGCCTGACCATGGAGGAATTGATCCAGCTGGTAGCTGCACGGCTGGCAGAGCACGAGCGGGTGGCAGCAAGTACTCAGGTCAGCAGAGCTCCCTGTCCTGAGGGAGCACGTAGCCTGCTGGGTTGGTGGGGAGAGGTGGCATTCAGGAAGAGCCGGAGTGGGAAGAAGCTTTGCAGCCAGGGCTAGCTCCTCTGTCTGTCTTTGCCGGATTGGAGAATAAATGATTTCTCGTTGCCATATGCGGTCCTAAGCCTCTCTCCCCATACTCTGACAATGTTTCTACTCACAGCCACTCGGTCGGATCCGGGCCCTGTTCCCTGCTCCACTGGCCCAAATCAGTACCCCGATGTTCTTGCCTTCTGCTCAAGTTTCATACCCTGGAAGGTCTTCACATGTAAGACTCTTTTTCCTGGAATACTGGGATATGAGAAGCTGGAGGTGGGGAGGGAGTCGGTTTGCAGGGGGTGGTAGGAAGAAGCCATCAGCTCATCAACTGCGTTGTTTGTGGCCCACTGGGAAACGCAAGTATTAAATTTAGGCAAGAATCTATATTAGACTTTCTTATTTTGTAAAATCATTTTGCTCCATGGAAATAGTGAATGGGGCCATGGGCAGGGAGACTAGAGTTCCTTTGACCTGCGTCTTCTGTCTGCAGGCTCCAGCCACCTGCAAGCTGTGTCTCATGTGCCAGAAACTTGTCCAGCCTAGTGAGCTGCATCCAATGGCCTGTACCCACGTGCTGCACAAGGAGGTGGGTGCTGCAGACCACCCTCCCTTTCTGCTTTCTTTTCTGATAGTCAAGATCATTTTTTTTAAACATTTTATTATAATAAGTATCCAGTTGTAAGGTTTTCAGTGAGTTGTGGCTTAAACATCAGAGTTCAGAATAGTGAAGCTGAGATCTTCTGGTTTATTTCACCCCGTTCCCTGCAGGGGAATGGATAAGCAATTCATACTACAGCACTGATAAGTTATTTTCACGGAAACTTGACAATAAGAGATAATCCCATACTCTAATCCTTGTTTCAAATATAGTACTGTCAAGAGGCGTTGCTTGGATGAGAGGCATAGAATAGAGAGTGTGAGATTAGTAACTCATCAAGCAGAATAGCTTGATGGCCTGCCTGTGAGAGATTATAGTCACAGACTGGCAGGTCTTCCTGTTCTCTGATTATGTCATCGGGTAACAGGGAAGATTCCTTCTTAACCATTTTGCATTGTTCATTTTGCTTCTCGAGAGGTAGAGTGATAAAATGTATACCTAAATTCTTGGTAAGGAAAATGTCCTGAGGGACCAGCAGTTGGCGTAAAGGCTATATCGCTGGACTCCCATGTAGTCGACGGCGGCTCGAGTCCTGGACCTGGTGGCTTAAACTCACGCGTGGCATGTGTGCATGCGTGCCCAAGATCCTGAGAGGAGAATGGAGAAGGGATTGCGGCGTGGCCATACCCCCCTGGGGGGGTGATTTCTTGCTTTCTGTCTCTGCCTCTCTCTGTCTTTCTGGTGAGCACACACGCCCTATAGCAAAAACCTCTCAAAAAAAAAAATAAATAAATAAATAAATAAAGGAAGAAGTCCTGAATAAAATGAGTGATGGGGGAAGGAAGGTCAACTCAGGCTGTAAGAGGTGGCAACTGATGCTAGATAGGCAACAGAGAGCAGCTTCATGCAGGCTCGTCCTCACTCCCCACTCACGCCTCCTGGGAAAAGACAGCTCAGCTGCCCTGAGAGTCTTTTCGGCGAGAGCCACGGAAATAGCCCTTCTCGTCTCCCCAGTGAGAGTTTTTCTCGCTTAGACCTTGTTGAACCTTAATGGCAATCTTCTTCCCTTTGTCTGAGGTATGTCTTTCTTTCTTTCTAGTGTATCAAATTCTGGGCCCAGACCAACACAAATGACACTTGTCCCTTTTGTCCAACTCTTAAATGACGGACCTGACTGGGGAGGAAGAAGAGGAGAAACTGATGTGAACAGGAAGCGCGGGTTCAAGATTTCTAAAACTCTATATTTATACAGTGACATATACTCATGCCATGTACATTTTTATTATATAGGTGATGTGTGTATAGAAAGTCTGTATTCCGATGTTCGTAAATGAGAGTATGTATATTATGCAGAAATGTCTGGTCCCCCTCCTCTGGCAGTTCCCTTGGGGGATGCAGATTGCAGGGAAGATGATGTTGAATTTGGCCTTGAAGTTTTGCTATCCCTGCCTAGGGCTATTTTCAGATACGATATAAAAACCATCTAGGAAGCCGCTGTCGCTCTACGGCCATCCCGCTTTGGTGTGGCTCAGCCTGTAGTCCATTTCCTTACGGCTCATGTATGCAGATTTGAAGCCTGGTGCTCACCCGCTGTCGAACCAGATGCCTTGCTTACCGAAAGCCTCCGAAGCCTCCGTACTGTTTAGCCACTCTACCCCAAACAGATAAAATGAGACTCTGATTGAGGAAAAAAGTGTAAACCTAATAGCTCGACTTTTCATTGAATATTTTACTGTGTTAACGCTCATTATTTATACATAGACATTAGGTTTACAGAATGTTATTTTACATCAGTGAAATTCACAGTCCAAGAATAACGACATAACCAGGTCCCATTTCCCCCACAGCTTCTGTCCACTCTACTTTCTGGGTGGAAATTAGCACAACGCATAGGTTTTCCTGGGCCAAGCCATCCCTTGCTGCCACTGGCTTGGCTTCTTATCAGGCTATAGCAGGCCAACCTTGTGGAGTTCTCACCCCTTCCCGCTCACTCCCATCTCATCTAGCTAACCCCCCTCCCCCCTGAAGGTTAAGGCAGTTGGTTCACAACCAAGTTGTTTGGTGACCTTGGGTGAGCTCCAGACAGGCACTCGGGTGAGGAGATGTCTGTGCAACTTACTTGCAGAATGGAATGCTGGGTTTTAAGTTCTGAAGCAAGGAGGCTATGGGGGATATGATTCCTGTCCTGGGAAAAATGGAGACCACAGTGATGTGAAGAAAGGAGACTGAGTTCCAAGTTTATGAATCATCTGTTCTGTGGAGAGCTCTCTGGAACTAGCTCATTTTCCACCTCTGCTTACTGAGCACTTCTGGGTTTTAGGTTTTATACCGGGGAATGCTAAGACTCTCTTAGAGCTTTTAATCTTTTCCTATCCTTTTATCTTTACTCCTAAAGGAAATGGCTTCAGCTCCCTTCTCTTTTGGAATTAAACAAGTAAAGGCTATGTGTTAATTAGAAGTAAAAATGGACTCCAGGGGAAGTCACCATGTATTACCAACAACTGCATCTTTTCCGTTTGGAGACCTGGAAATGCTTACTGCTACTCGCAAAAATACCAGGATGGCAAAGACTTGTCCTTTCAGACCCAACTAAATTCTCTCCTCTTTGTTTTTATTAGTGTTTCTTTCTTTGTCTTTCATTTTTGCCTCTCAGCTCATGGACAGATTCTTTTTTCTCTTGCCTTACTCGCCCAGGCTTACTGACTAGCGTCTGTTTAGGGAGCTGGACCTCCTGGGGCCACCTTGGCATCTTACAGGTGAATGGAATGGCCTGAGTACTGTTCTTTAGAGGTCAGATGACCCGCTTCCTCTGGTTAATGAAGTTTTACTGTCTCCAGTTTGGTTTCTGTTGTGAACAGGAAAAGTGGCAAAATGGATGATTGATTCCTACATTTTCATTTGGGGGAGTCATATCTTATAACCCTAAGTTGCCTCACTTCAACTTGGCAGCAGCTGGCCACTTGCAGTGTTCTTTTTAAGCACCCCCTGAAAATTGAGAACTTGGAAATGGATATAAAGAAAATTGTGTCTTTTCCAACCATCTCTGAAGCCAAAGGAGTAGAGGGGGAGAAAAGGAAGGATGAGGAGGGGGCTTAACTGCTTTCCAGTAAAAGCCCCTGGAAAGCCGACTCTAGCGGGAGGATACGTGTTTTGGAGAGTTGTGCATGGGAGCGGGGGCCTTGTCATTCTTGTCCAGGGTCACTCAAAAATAACTCTTGGCCACCCACCCCTGCTCTCCCTTCTCCCACTGTCCACTGGCCTGCAGTGGCAAAAGCCACAAAGACCAACGGGAAAGGCCCCAAATGCAGTGAGTGGAGATGGGACAGTCATTTTTCAGGAGCAGAATTTAAAAATAGAGATATATAATACATATTTTTACAAGCAAGAAATCTGTTGTCAAGATTTTTTTTTTATATACTTTAAAGTTCATAGTTTCCAAGTAGAAAGAAAGGAACTGTAAAAGAAAAATAAGTGCAAGTTTTCTTTTAAAAAAAAATAACAGGGCGATGAGACTTCCTAATGAAGGGGTTGAATATATGCCCTGGGAAGAGCTGGGGAAAAGCCAGTTTTCCCCAACGTGGGTGGAAATTACAAAGCAGATCATGGCATTTTCATCTCACGGTAGCAATTGTGGAAGTGTATTTACACAGTGACGTCTGAGCTGGGAGCGGACAGTCTCGTCTTCCTCTCGGTCTTCGTAGTGACGGGGTGTTCCCAGTCAGCCAGAGCAGCACCACGTACAGTGGGAATGAAGAGAACCCAGATAAAAAACTGACTCAGTATTCTTGTTTTATTGGTTTATGGCTTTCGGGCATCTGGCCGAGGCCCTCCTGTGTTTCCCTCTCCCTCACCAGTTACTTCCACATTCAGCAGACCCCACACCTGGAAGCGTGTGTTAACCAGACAGGAATAAGAAGCAGTGGGGACACCAGGACAGGTTGGCTCCTCCCATGCACACTGCTGTCAACATCTAATGTGCTAGAACCGAGGGAGGAAGTTACCTTGGTCCCTACTGCCTGGTCCAAGAATCAGCCTGGGTACCCACATTCTATTAGGAGTGGGCGTAGAGAGCAGGATAGGGGAAGGGTTGGCCTTCTTCAAGGGCTCTTGTGGTGAAGGAAATAAGGAAGCCCTGAGGCTGCCATTTTTTTCTCCCAGCAAACTTGATACTGAAGACACGATGTTAGAGCCAGAAAGCCCTGGATTTCTGACACTCTTGGTATAATACTAGTGCCAGTTTGTGACATCTTAGACAGATGCATGGGGCCATGAGGTGAGAAGGCCAAAGCACTCTGTGTTGTAGAAGGGTCTCACCACTTCTTAGCCAAACTAGAAATCCAGGCAGAGGTTGAGGGCGTCAACCCTGTACCTGCCGAGCCATCATCTGGGTTTGCTCTCAAGGATTTGGTAGGAAAGGTCTCCTGTGCCACCCTTCTAGCACCTTGACTGCAAAGCTCGAGGAACGGGTTGGGGGAAGGGTGAGCCCATGACCAGGAAGACAGAGCCCAGCCTGCTGTGCTCCGTTGCTCTCCCGTGGGGCGCCCAGGGCTCCCGCGGTCAGGCTGCGACAGCATGACCTACCACGTGTAGGATGAAGGGTCCAGGAGAGACCGGTGGAATTAGTAAGGTGGAAACTCATTTGTTACGTGGAACTTCTTAGTGGGCATTTTTCATCTAAGAGCGCTAAAGAGAGCTCTTTGGCTCAATAAGCCCTTCCCCCCACCTCACTTTGGGTCAGGCTGCAACCACAGAAAAGAAAACATTGAACATGGTGCCACCTCAGGAGGTGGTGGGATTCTGTCTTGGAGGTGAGATCTAAAGCTCCGACCGGCGGGTGGTTGTGTGTCTGCCTTTCCTGGCTTTGATCACAACTATTCCCTGTCTTTGCACACTCTCTCCTTCCCCTCTCTCCAGCCACCCCCATTTGTATAAATATTCAGGTGAATTATTTGTTAACTTAATTCAAGAGGCAGTCTGTGTACCGTTAGGCTGTTTGTACAGTCCCTATCCCTAAAGCAGGTGGCGAACTCTGCACCCTCTCCCGACTCTGGCCAGCGCAGGGACAACACTGGCCCTCTCTGTCGGTACCGCAGGGACACACATGGTATATCCTGGGTGTGCTGCCAGTATTTCTGGAACGAGGAAGAGTACTTTGGATTGGAGAATCTAAAGGAATGGCGGGCAGAGGTTCAGGGCTGAAGTTGCAAGCAGCAGAATTTCCCACTTGAGCTGGAAGTGACCGAGAGGATCCCCGCCACCAGAGTGCCGCCTCCTTCCCGCTCCTGTGTGCACAGGTGCGGTCCCTGTAACCCACCTTGCCAGCTTTCCTCGTCCGTCAAGGCAGAGGCGTTTGGCGGGTGGGCGAGGGTCCTGAGCCGCTCTGGCCACGGGCGCCATCTGTGTCTCCTCCTTGTGACCAAAGTGCACCACCCAGACGTGGTCGGGAAGCTCTGTCGTCCGCCCGTGGGCCTCCTCACTTCAGCAGGGAGATGTCGTCGGCAAAGTCATCGTGCTGGTGGCGCAGGCAGCGGAGGCAGCGCCACTGACACACCATGAGGCAGAGCGGCAGCATGAAGAGGGCGCAGATGGCGGCCATGACGTAGGCGATGGTCATGAGGGTGGACTCGTCCGTCTGTGGAATGTTGTAGCCACAGTCCTCCATGTCCGGGGTGACGAAGGGGCCCTCGACTGCCGCCGTCCTGAACTCATCGTGCACTAGGAGGGCGGAGTGGAAGGGCAGCTCTCACCGCACGGCAGTGGGGGTCACACAGCAGAGGCCTGCAGCTGAGACCTGCAATGAGCCCTGCGGACCTGCTAACCTGGTGGCACTCAGGAGCAGGCCAGAAAGCCAGCGCCCACTGGAGGCCTGCCCCCTGCCCCCGCCATCCCCGTCAGAGGGGACAGCAACCTTCCTGTATACCTGTCCAGTGGCTCCCAGCTGACCCACGGCCAGGCCCTTGTTCACCCACTCAACTTACCTTCCGCTGCAGAGGTCCCACTACAAACCCCGCCACCTTTCTCAAGTGGCATTAGCCTCCCATGTGGTGGCTGACAGGGCCACGCCAGGCTCCTGCTGCCCTTGCACCTCGAGGCTCCCAAGGTGCCCTGGCATCTCTTGCTTCCTTGGGTTTCTGACAGAGGTTACCGATCCAGCCAGGGCACGCCATGGCAGGCGGTGTTTAGAAGACGGCACTGATTGGCTGGCTGTTGTGCAGCATGTTGCTTCCACCTCCCAAACTGACACGAGTCCCGGGGAATCCAGATAGATTGAGCCACACCCACAACCCTGGTGCCCTCACCATGGCAAGCGCTGACGGCGAAGCCAATTCGTTTCCGGGCCCGATCGAAGACGACGTAGAAGCCCTCCATGATGACAGCGCCCATGACGGTGCCCGTGGAGGACTGAGAGATGGCAAACTTGTAACAGTCGTCCTGGGACGTGGCCACGTCTTCCACAGGCCGCAGGTATTGCTAGGGCGAGCAGTCGGGTGAGAGTGCCTGTCTCCATCCAGCCCATCTTCTAGTAGCTCTTCCCTTTGCCACCCCCGAGCTCTGAGGTTGGCTTTGCCCCAGACACTCCATCTGTTTTGTCCCCCAAGTTCTGGGAAGCCATGCCTGTTCACCCCTCTCCCCGGGGCCCCACTGACTCCGGTCGGGGCATACCTGTGGGAGGATGGTGATGCGGAAGGACTGATTGGTGACCTCACCCATCAGATAGAGTGAAATGACCGGGAAGATGTTCCAGGGGGTGGTGCCCGCCTGCCAGCACACCAGCTGCTCTCCCAGCCAGAACCCGTCCGGGAACTTCTCTGTCTGTGTTGGCAAGAAGGGGTCACCGTTAGGAAACTGTCTCACCACCTCATCGCTCCCATTTCCAGGTAACACTAGGCCTTATTAGCTTTTTCCAGGGAAACATCCCAAGCGGGGAAAGGTAAACTCCAGCCCAGGGATTCGGAGGGTGTGCAGAGGGACCGTGTGAGCAAGCCGAGGCCTGTGGAGGAGCACAGCCTGTGAGGACTCGGCGTGTGCACCCTGGGCTCTTCCCTGACCTGCCACCTCCACCCCCTCCCGGCCCACTCACCGAGGAGGCCGCCTTGATGGACTTGACAGCGGCTTCAAACACCTTCTTGGGCAGACGAAGGTTGGTGGTGCCACTGTCCACGATGCTCTTGTCGTAGTTGTACTGAGGGAGAGGAAGGGTCAGAGGGGCCGCTTTGGACAGGGCTGGAGGACTGAGTGTGGCTGTGGGTCCTGCCTGGGTGGGGGTCCTGCTGGCCATGGGCTGAGTGGACCTCCTTGAGCAAGTTACTTCGCTCCTGTGCCTCAGTCTCCGCGTCTCCAGACGGGGATGGCAACAGTACCCCCAAAGTTACCATGAGGATGAGGTAGATCAGCATGTTTAGAGTGCTTAGGGTGCCCGGCAGGGGGGCACTCAGGACCTGTTCACCCATTACCTAAGGTGGGCAGCCCCTGCCCAAGTCACAAGTGGAAGTGCCCACGCAGTGCTTTAAGCTTTCACAGTGTGTGCCTATCTGCCCTAACCCAGCACGCCTGAGCAGCTCAGAAAGGCAGGCCTCCTGGGCACTGCCGAGCACAGGGGTGAGCACTTGACACATTTTCCCTGACCTTTGCCCTCGTCTTTGAGAAAGTCCTTTTGCATCTGTTTTGTAGAGGAGGAAACCGAGACACAGTAACTGGTCAGAGGGCACAAAGCTCTTGAATGGCAGGTTCTTATCCAGGTCTCTGACTCCAAAGCAGGACCCTGTGGCCATGCCATGGTGTCACGACTCCTCAAGAAAGGCTTGCCCAAGACCGCAAAGCCACACAGTGACTAGAGCCAGACTTCCGAACCCAGTCCATGCGTCTCATGATGAGACCCTAACCCGCCGTCCCTGTGAAAGCGCCCTCCCAGGTCCTAGCCCCAAACCTCAGCTCTGCTGTGTGCCCATTAAGCTCCTGACTGTGCTAGGCCTTTCCGCGGGTCCTGTACCTCTGCCCCGTCCTCCCAGAACCCCTCACACTGGGTGGCCTGCCCTGCTCCCCGACCGCCTTGGGCCATTACCTCCTTGCAGTCCATGTTCAGATCTTGTCCGTTGATCTCCACCCGCACGATGATCACCTCGTAATACCACTCCCGCCGGATGGGCGTGTACCAGAGACTGCCCGTGTACAGCGAGTGGTCGATACCCC